AACTAATTTTTTTTTACATCAAATACTCCTCTGGCAGTATGGTGAAGCCGATAGACCCCTTCTCAGAGTAATGTTATTAAATGCATAAAACACACAGAATTACAAAGGAAACTAATATATTGAAATAGTTATCAAAATGTTTTCTTTTACAAGTTCGTGAAACCCCAATTCAGAATCCCTACCTTAGAGAACTGGTCTTGGGAAACCGATGGCTGACAGGAGTGCTCCACTGGGGTCCATTCAGTGTCAAGATCTCTGAAGGAAGCTCTCTAGCATGGTGGGCACACTCCTTGTGGAATACTATGAGGCAAGTGAATCCTGGGCACTCACTTAATCATTCTCAGCCTCAGTTTCCTCATCTAGAAAATGGATATAATTATACCTAATTCACTGTATTGTTGAGAGGATCAAATGAGATACTGTAGGAGTAGAGTTGAAACTATTTCACCCCAATTTAGCTCTGATGCCTTAATTAGGTGAGAATGCATTTCAGCTAATCAAAATACCATAAACTTAGTGTGAAACATCTTTGAGAGTCATTGGATGGAATGAAATGATGTCAGATAGGAAGTCAACTCCAGTGAGCTGAGAAACTTGGTGATGCCTCTAGAAATCAACTATAAATTATTAAACAAGTTGAGGGTGGGCAGAATTTCAGAAATTAGAGTACGTGGCTTTACAGCATAGCTCTGAAGATTGAAGGTAGCTCTGAATCATGGCAGAGAGGGGAAGGTAGTAAGCAGATTCATCAACTCTACAGCCACTTTGGAGTAGCAGACCCAGGCTGGGGCAAGTCCCAAGACAAAGTCAGCTATTCTCCCAGCTTCTTCTCTTGAACTTGTCTATCCACAGAGATTGTAATATAATCTATTGTTTGCTGTTGCATTACGCAAACGTTTTGCATATAGTTAACTACAAAGAATCCAGGAATTAGAGACAGATGTAAAGTTGTGCAAAAAGTTCAACCTTTGCCTAAATGTTAGGAATTTTCTTAATTGGGAGCTCAGAGCAATTGTGATTGAGCTCATAACGTTTTGTCTAACAAACAACACCTTAAAGTTAAAGATGAAGGAACCACATTGACCTTTACGGCCATTACATTGTCCTCTAGGCTTAAAGAAGCTAATTGCTGCAAACCCTAGAACACTGTAGAAGTGCTAGGTATCAACTCTTATTATTGGAGGCAATCATCCGGGAGATGCAAGCCCGGACCAATCAGAAAGCATTTAGTAAGTCAGGGGCTGATTATGCAAGTTTTGAAGTAACCCTCCAGAATCAGAAATAACTGCCTGACTAGCTAACTAGCTAACTAACTGAAGCAAAGGACTCTCAGAATGACAACTTCCCAAATGGGTGATATTAAGGCAACTCCAGGTATGACAAGTTAGGGTAGAGGGCTTTGAAAATGATCAGCATGTTTAAAAAGAGAGCAATTCCACCGAGATCCTGGGGCACAGGGAAGCCAAACCAATGTGAAGATGATCAGACAGGGTGGGGGGGGCAGAGAAGGATGATTGGGGGCCCCTTGAATGTCTGATTCTCAGCAGAAGAGAGCAGCTCTGAGCTTCAGTGTCTCATTCTTAGCTTCAACACCTGTTTGTAAGGAAGTCTTTCCTGACATGGCCCCTTCCCAGCCCAGTAACCTCCTTCACCTATAGTCTAGTATTTACCCTGTGTGTGTGTGTGTGTGTGTGTGTATAGTAGTATCTATATCTATATCTATCTATATCTATATCTATATCTATATCTATATCTATATCTATATCTATATCTATATCTATATCTATATCTATATCTATATCTATATCTATATCTATATCTATATCTATATCTATATCTATATCTATATCTATATCTAATCTATATCTATATCTATATCTATATCTATATCTATATCTATATCTAAATCTATATCTATATCTATATCTATATCTATATCTATATCTATATCTATATCTATATCTATATCTAATCTATATCTACATCTACATCTACATCTACATCTACATCTACATCTACATCTACATCTACATCTACATCTACATCTACATCTACATCTAATCTATATCTATATCTATATCTATATCTATATCTATATCTATATCTATATCTATATCTATATCTATATCTATATCTATATCTATATCTATATCTATATCTATATCTATATCTATATCTATATCTATATCATCTATATCTATATCTATATCGTGTGTATATATAGTAGTATGGGTATGAGTTCAATAGAATATAAGCAGCTTGAGGGCAGGGGCTTTTATTTCTGTCTAACTCTTCCACACCCGGCACAGCTTCTGGCACATCATGGTCACTTCCTAAGTGATAACTGTTGCTGGATCCCTCCCTCCCCAGGCATGGTTTTCAGCCTCTCTGGTTTCACAGCCCCACCTTCATAAATGGTCATCCATTCACTGATTCCTTTTCTCCATCAAACATTTCTGACAGAGAGGAAGCAGACTTCTCTGACTGATGGGGAAAAATGAATAATGGTATGATAGTGATATGAAGAATGCAGTGTTAATCTGGGCTCTGAGATGTGTCATTGCTTCTGTCCCATTACTATGGCTACTCTTATTGCCACTATTACTGCTACTACTAACTTTACTATTACTACTCCTACTAATTACTACTATTACTACTACTTTTACTGTTACTACTAAATACTATATTATACTAATGTTACTACTTTTACTGTTACCACTCCTACTTTTAATACTACTTTTACTATTGCTGCTACTATTACTATTACTACTACTATTACTTTTACTATTGCTAATATTACCATTGCTACTACCATCATTACTTTTGCTATTAGCACTATTACTAATGCTGTTACTGCTACTATTACTTTTGCTATTACTATTTTACTATTACTAATGCTATTGCTACTTTACTACTACTATTACTAATGCTATTACAGCTTTTAGTATTGCTACTACTATTACTATTTTACTATTGCTACTACTACCCTTGCTACTACTACTACTTTTGCTGTTACTACTACTATTGTTAATACTATCACTACTTTACTATTTCTAATGCCATTACTATTACTATTACTTTTGCTTTTACTACTACTACTGTTACTACTACTGTTACTTTTATTTTTGGTACTACTACCATTGCTTTTACTATTACTACAATTACCATTAATACTGTTACTACTTTACTATTACTACTACTACCACTGCTCTTACCACCATTACTCCTACCACTGCTACTACTAACTTTACTATTACTACTACTATCACTTCTCCTCCTATTACTACTTTACTATCACTACTACTACTATTATTACTGCCACTTTTACTATTACCATTCCTACTATTACTTTTGCTATATTACTATTTCTATTACTATTATTTTATTACTACAATGACAACAATGACAACTACTACTACCACTACTTCTGCTGCCTGGGTCTCTGAGAAGTCATTTGACCAGAGGCACTTGAACCCAGTTCTTCTTAACTCTGCGACTGTCCACTCTAACACTCTGCCTCTTATACGTTGTCATCACTGCTGCTTTTAGCTCTTGGTCTGACTAAGCCCGTGAGGCAGCTGTTATCAAGGATAAGAAGATGTGGACCAGAGAAAATTGCTCCCAACCCTTTCTAATTTTCTAAACACCACCACCACCACACACACACATGCACAGAAGCATGGCATCCAGGGAGGTGTGTTTTGGTTGGGAAGGCTATACGATGGTGACTGGAGCCTCAGTGAGTAGACTGACACTCTCCCACAGCAGTGGAAGGAGTGATTTGGTCACAGTTAGAGAGAACTGAAAGGATAGGAGGAGGGCTGGGGTTATGCTTGTTGTGTAGGCATTTTTTTTAGTCGTGCCCGATTCTCCATGACCCAATTTGGGGTTTTCTTGGCAGAAATACTGGAATGGCTTGCCGCTTCTTCTCCAGCTCATTTTATAGAAGAGGAACTGAGACAAAGAGAGTGGCTTGTCCAGGGTCACACAGCTAGTAAGTGTCTAAGGCTGGATTTGAACTCAGGTCCTTCTGACTCTAGTTCCAACACTCTTTCCACGGTGCCACCTAGCTGTACTGAGGTTCCACACACAATGACAAAACAAATGGAAAGAATATGGGGAGTGAAGGAAAGCCTAGCTGGGGGCAGGTCTGAATGTGATCCAGGCTGGACAGTGAGGGCCCAGGATGGAAATGCCTTGGGGTGAAAGGGCTCAGTCCTCCTGGGTTTCGGTGGTTTAGCGTCTGGCAGGCAAGGCCAGTGGTGGGAAGATGATGAAGCCTGGCTGGGCCAGACCTAGATTAATGGTCACTAGAGACTCCCCCAGGGAAGATGGCATCGGCAACGTCCATCATTAGCTGCTGCTCATGGACAACACTTGGCTTGAGCCAGATCCACAGCCTTGCTAACCGTGCCTGTCTCACCCAGAGATGGGGGGCTGTCAGCCAATATAAAACACAATCTCATGTTTCCCAGAATCCCGGGGTCTCAGAGACGGGAGGAACATATGTGGCCACCTAGTCAAAACTGAGTAAGAAACACATGCTTGGAAAATGTTAGCTTGTTATTTCCTAATTGATGAGGGATATAGTGATAATGACAAAGTCAGGAGCCTAGAGGTCAGGCAGCTGTCCAGCCTTGCCCTGGTTGTATCTGTGTTATCCCAGAGATGGAATCTGCTGCTGCGGTTCCTGGGGCTGGCCGTGCTGGGCCACGTCCTTAGTCTTCCACCTTTTGTGTGACCCTTTTGAGGAAGCAGAGGCTGATCTGACTGACCTCAGTTCAGGGGAGTGGGGCTTTCCTCGTACTTCTGATGGACATTTCTATTACAGCAGTGGAAGGTACGGGAGCATTATTGAGGAACCTCACACTAGATTGGGATCCTCACTCTGATTGCTTGGGGTGTAGCCAATGACGAGGCACCTCCCCCGGCTGCTAGGCGACAGAGAGGATTTTTTCATGTGCCCCTTATTTGCTGTTATGGATGCTCATTGGGTCACAATTGCCTGGAGCAGCAAGGGCAGGAGGTTGGAACATTTCACTGTGGCAGGAAAGAACATAGTAAGGGTAATTTAGGGTGATTGTGGGGGAAAGGTAACTGTGCTTGTGTAGGAGATAAGCCCCATATTGACTTGGGAGGGTGGGGTGTGATCTGTCTTCCCACTCTCCAATTGGTTTATCTCAGGCCTCAGGAGGTCAGGCTGTGCCCCTGCCTCTGCCTCCCTCAGCAGGCCCCCAGTTTGATCTAGGGAAGAGTGACCTTCATAAAGGACAGTTGTGAAATTCTCCTTGACGAGCTGCCTTCTGTGCCAGGTTCCTCGGCAGAAGTGGGTGGCCCAGGACTCCAGGGACTGACTCTTCAGTTAGGGTCCAGGGTCCGGGAAGGAGGAGGCAAAACCTCAGAACCTGATGGTTCTGAACTACAGCCTCCCTGGCTGTAGGTAACCTGACCTGGGTGTGAGCATTCCCATCTCTCCAGCACTCCCCCTTCTCTTCTCTGACGTGGCCACCCTGCCCCCTCCCCCTCCCCGGTGCAGACCCTCTCGAGGGTCACCTCACGTTGGGACTATGGCAATACCTGCTGTGGGGGAGAGCTCTGCCTGCCGCAAGTCTCCCCCTCCAGGCCATCCTTCATTCAGCCTCCAAAGAGATTTTCCTGAAGTCCAGGTCTGACCATGTCACCCTCCTGCTCAGTAAACTCCGGTGACCCCCTGTCACCTCCAGGAGCAGACAGAAATTCCTGCACACCTGGTTCCTCCCTTACCTGGCCTGTCTTCTTACACTGAATTCTCCTCTACTACCTTCAGATCTGGCCACACCGACTTGGGGTGCAATCCAGGCGGAGGGGAGGAGGGAGACAGTGCAAAGCCATGGAGACGAGAGATGATGTAGGTATCATTTGAGAGGAACAGAGAGGGCCAGCCTGGCTAGAGCAGCCAGCGGAAGGGGGAATGAGGCTGAAAAGAGCCTGATGACACGTCACAAAGGACTTTAAAAGCCAAATAGGAGCCTGCCTGGTGAATCTAGAGGTGAGAGAGAGTTACTGGGTTTTATGGGAGAAATAATATTATAATAACTAGCATTTATATAGCACTTTAAACATATTATCTCATTTCATCATCACAACTACCCTGGGAGATAGGTGCTATGTTTATCTTCATTTTGCAAATGAAGAAACTGAGGCAGGCAAAGGTTAAGTGATTTGCCCAGGCTCACACAACTTATAAAGGCTGGACTTGAATCTAGGACTTCTAGATTACTCCAAGCCTAGGGCTCTATCCACTATTCCACCTAGCTGTCTCACCAATTTTAAGGGTGCATGGGGTGCTGTGGTTTGAACCTGACACTTCCCCTAATAGTTTACACCCTCTGTTGGAATGATTCAGTGAGGAAACCTAGTTTGAAATAGCCCTCCCATGGTTTAGCAAAGCATTTTCTGCTCCATGAGCCTTCAATTTTTATCGAATAAATAAGTGAATGGGTGGAGAGACAAAGATGGCCACCCTCTCATTAGAGCCACTGCCTCATGTGTGTAACCAGACACACACACACACACACACACACATATACACACACACACACACACACATACACACACACTCCCCCCAAGTTGTGCCCTAACACCATTTTTAGGGATCTCATAGTTGGTGAAGAGCTAATACCTTCCAGGAACCCACTTAGGGCCCCTTTGGGGAGCCAAGTCTTCTCCTCCCAGTGAATGGAACCTTCTGGCTTCTATTCCATATTGTCAGAAGGTTCCACCTGATGTGAATTGGGCTTCAGACAAGTGTCAATGGCATTTCACAAGGCCTGGCCATTTCCTTGCTCCATCCACCATCAAGATTTCACCACAGTTTTGAAAATCCATCAGACTTTCAGTGATTGTTTTTAGAAGAATTGTTTTCAGAGCTGAGGCTTGACATTTGCTGAGCCCCAGGAATGCCCTGGAGGGCCAGAAGGCAGAAAGTCACCCTGACCATCTCCTTGAATTGTTATCTAAGACAGATAGGAGAAACCAAAAGCACCCAGGAAAGTGAGCCAGACACCAAGAAGACTGATTCATCTCATCTTTCCATTTCTTTTTGTTTTCTTTGTGACCTGGGATGTGTCTCTTAGGAATGGCCGATAGTGGGCCGCTGCCATTGCTAAGCCCTTCTCATCCCCCCACATTCACACACACACACACACACACACACACACACACACACACACACACATGAAGCAGAATGAGAATAGGGTCCAATGGTACGGTGGGAAGTGTTAGATTTGTGGTCAGAGGGCCTGATTTTAGACCCTAGAGAGGCCAGTTCATTTCATCGTTCTCTTTTCATCATTCTCTGCCTTGCTTTCCCTATCTGTCAAATGAGATTAGACTAGTTGACTTCTGAAATCCTTTGTACCATTTAATTCACTTCATGCTATGATAACTCATCCCCTTTAAAAAATAAATTGTGACCACTTTCCTTTGGAAAAAGGAAGCATCTGGTAGAAACTAATGGATTTTAAAACCTTCGCTGTTTGGAACCCAGAGTCCAATAATCCAGGGTAATATTCCAGAGCGGTTGCGGGGGGCAACTGAAACAGCAAAGGGCCTTGCTTGAGTCCAAGCACCATGAGTATTGGTGGGAGGAACTGGGCATGTCCGTCCTGGAGAAGAGAAACATGAAGTGGAGGTGGGAGGGGCATGAAAGCTGCATTTGGTCAGAGATCCTGGGGAGAGGGATTCACCTTCTTCTGCTTGGCCTCAGATGGAAGAGCCAGTAGTAGAGAGGCAGATTTCTGTTTGATGCCAGGAAAACCCTCCTCCCGATGGAAGCCACCCCAAAGGTAGAGTGGGCCACTGCAGGCTGCCTTTCCGTCCGAGGGGACGCTGGGGATCCCGTCACATGTGGAGACCCTGAGATCCCTTCCAGCTTGTCTGTTCTGGGGTCTCGTGACCTGGCTTCCAGAACACGTTGCGCCCCACTCTGCGGGCCGACGCTGACTGTTGTTCATTACCCCCATCTGTAAGTAATGAGTTAAATTGTTTTTTTTTGATGCAACCCTTTTATTTGCTAGTCAGAAAACATTACCATTGATTGAAGGGCTTTACAAAATGAGGTGGCTGAGATGTGTTCTCATTGGCTTCCAACTGAAAACTTAATGCACTGAATACTTCCAGGATACGGAGGGGCAAACAGATGTCAAGGAAGAAGGGAAAGCTAGTGGACAAAGGGCTTGAATCGAACAAAGGAAAACAAGATGTGGGCTCCCATTCTAAGGATCGAGGCCCCTGCAGATTGTGTGGGGCCAGGTTGTGTCATGGACAGAGTCAGGAGGGCTGGGGTTCAAGTGCTGCCTCTGCCGTGTGCTGTCTGTGAGACCCTGAGCACGTCCTTCATCCCAATCAATCAGTAAACATTTTTAGACACCTACTGTGTGCCAGGCATTTTCTAAGACTCTTATATTACAGATTAGTTGTAGAGTTATATTGGTAGGGGGACTTTCCACACCAGGAATTGCTGTCATCAATGAAATCATGCCTTCTCCCCATTAAAAAAAAAAGTAACAAAAACGAAAACAAATTGGCCGTGGAATTTAATGAAGAGAAAATAAATTTGCTCTCTTACTGAAATGTGAGATTTATTTTCTTTTCAGTTAAAACATGTCCTCAGGGTCAGAGGCCTAGAGCTGGAAGGACACTCTGGAGCTGTGCTCTCCAAAGCCTTCTCTGGAAAGTGGGGAAACTGAGTCCCAGAGAGCAGAGGTGACCTGCCCAGGGAGAAGCGCAGATTGGGATTCGAACCCAGAGCCCCTCCCCCCAAGGTTTGGCGGCCTGTCGGTCCTCGGGCTCTGCCCAGGGAATCACGAAGCGACCCCTCCGAGACTGGTCCACAGCTGGCGGCGGCTTCACCTCTGAGCTCAGCTCTGCCAGGGCACCCATCTCTTCACGATCTTCAAGGTTTGTTTCTGCTGTGGCTGGGGAGCCCGACTTCGCTTGCAGAGCGCAGAAACAGCTTCCCTCTTCCAGGAACATTTCAGATCCGGCTGAGCCGCTGGGTTTCAGCTGCAGGGCCCCCCACCCCTCCCAGCTCCGGCTTTGCTTCTCCCCTCACTCGGGAGGCCTCGGGCTGCGGGTTCAGGGAGAGGGGCTGCGGCCGGGGTGCCAGCTGGCCGGGCCGCCTCACGTCCTTGACAGAGATCACTGATGCCGATGCCGGCTTCCAAGGGCTGGGCAGCGCCTGCCGAGGCAAACTCTAATTTCTGTTTCCATAGGTCCCGAGTAAACAAACAGTGGAATATTTGCAAGTTTTTCCAATCAGTGCCATTGTTTAATAAAGGCAGGAAGGCCTCGGAAGGGGGAATTTTCTTCCTGGTTTCCCACTTTCTCTTATCTCGGGCCAGAGTCTTACTGTTAAGGCAATCTGCGCGCCTACGGCCGGGCTTCACCCAGGCCTGACACCAGGACACAGCCCACATGCTTCTTGGATCGATTTCATGCTTTCAGACAGAAGCCACCTATTAAAAGGCCTGAGAAGGCCACCACCTGCCGGAGGCGGGCCGGCGGCCAGTCCTCCAACCACGGCTGGACCTCGGCTGGACCTCGGCTCTCCTACCACATTTCCTTGGCAAGGCCCAGCTTTCTCACTCTCTCCACAGGGCTCTAATGGGTTTTCCATCCCTTCTTGGCCTGTCTTTAAATCTGGAGTCATTCTTCATCCCAACAGGTATTCACAGAGTGCTCAGCAAGGCATTGAGGGGATCCCTTACTTAGTGTGGACCTTCCTCTGGTTTTTGTCATGCCCTGGACCCCTCGAGTAGTCAGTCTGCAGAAGCCCAGGGATCCCCCCCAAATCATGTTTTTAAACGTGCAAAACAGAATACATTGGATTACAGAGGAAAACGATTTTATTGAAATATAATTATTAAAATATATACATAGAATATATAACATAATAATATAACAAATTATGTAGCAGATATAATATTATATATAAATATCTCGTATATTTTGAGAGAGAGAGAGAGAGAGAGAGAGAGAGAGAGAGAGAGAGAGAGAAAGAGAGAAAGAGAGTCAGTCCCTCAAACCTAGGTGAAGAATCGCTGTGAACTTGGGGGGTGTTCTCCTCCTCCTAGAGCTTAGACTTTGTTTGGATAAGACAATCAGTTGAGGAGTTAAGTTCTAGAGGGATTCAGAGAAAGGGGATAACTACTTTAAGGACAGAGTGGTCAGGGAAGGCTTTGTAATAGTAATGATAACAATAATTCTAATAATTATAGTTATACTTCTTAATAAATAGTCATTAATTATATAGTCACTTAATCTCTGTCTGCTTCAGTTTCAGGGGAATAATAATAATAATAATAGCACCTACCTCCATAATAGATAGAGCATTGGGCTCAGGAAGACCTGAGTTCAAATCTGGCCTCAGATACTTACTAGCTGTGTGACCCTTGGCAAGTCACTTAACTTCTCTGTGTCTCAGTTTCCTCCTCTGTAAAATGAAGATAATAGCATCAACTTCCTCAACATTGTCATAAGGATAAAATAAGATAATATTTGTAAAGCACTTAGAAACCCTAAGTACTACATGAATGCTAGCTAGTATTGATTTTGTTGTTCAATCATTTTCAGTCATATCTGACTCTTTGTTACCCTACATGGGGTTTTCTTGGCAAAGGTAAGGGAATGGTTTGCCATTTCCTTCTCCAGTAGCTTAAGGCAAACAGGTTAAGTGATTTGCCTAGGGTCATACAGCTAGTGAGTTGGCTGAGGCTGGATTTAAACTCAGGTCTTCCTGACCCAAGTCCCACTGTCTTATCTACAGAATCATCTAGCTGCTTCCTTTACCTATTATTATTATTAATTTTTTTATCATGATAATGCTCAAAATGAGATAACAGACAAAGACTAACTCTTCTTCGCCAGTGTAGCTGATGTCTGTGTGATCTAAGGTTTGCAAAGCACCAGACAGCCCTGTCATTAGATTCTCTATGAAGATAAGCTCCTTGAGGATAGAGACTGTCTTTGCCTTTCTTTGATTCCCCAGTGCTCAGTACAGTGGCTGGAACATAGGAAGTATTTCATAAATGCTTACTGGTTAGTTCAACAGGTATTATCATCCTCAGGCTACAGACAACAAAGTGGAGGCTTGCTGATGGTCACATAAGTGTCCAGGGCAGGATTTGAACCCAGATCTTTCCTGGCTCCAGAAATACCCTTTTCACTCCATTCCACTCTACTGCATCATCCATGAACAAGAAAGCATTAGAAGTAGGACCCAAAGAATGGGAGTGGGAAGGACACTTCAGGAAGAGGGGGAAGCAAGACAGAGGCATGGAGGAGGGAATTTGCAAGGGATGCTTGAGGAGAGCCTTTCTATCCCCATGATTATTTTTTAAGTTATTTTTATTTATTTCATTAAATATTTCCCAATTCTATGTAAAAAGTAATTAATGACCATTTAAAAAAAATCCAAGTTCCGAATTCATCCTCATCCTCATCATTTAAATTTCTTTTGTGTAGACTTACATGTGTACAAATTGTATCTCCCATAGACTAAAAACAAATGTAATTGCTTTGAGGTGCTGAATCATTTGGTTTGGCTTTTGAATCCACAGCGTTTAGCCAGGTGCCTGACAATCCATTGGCCAAGAAGCCTTCTAACATGTGCCTACTTGCTGCAGGCACTGAAGATACGAACAAAAATGAGGACCTCTCTGCCCTCAGGGAGCTGACATTGCATCAGACCTAGGAGACACATACGGCTTGGATCAGTGCTTTTTTAGATTGGCTGGAGTATAGGGTTTCTGTTGATATGACTTGAGACATTAGGTTGGGTAGGTAGCTTGGAGCCAGACTTTGAAGGGAAGGCAATATCAGGCAGAGGAATGTGAACTTTCTCTTCTAGGCCGTGAGAAGCCTTTAAGGGTCCCTGAGTTATAGAAACTAGAGGAGGAGGTCTGTCCATCTTATAGGCAAGCCAGTAAGGTGGCTGGGCTGGGGGAGCATGGAGCAAATGGCTGGGGACTTGAGGAGGGCCAGTTATGGAGTGGCACTGATTATTGTTGGTAAACTGTCCAGGGCACCCAGAATAGTTTCCTTTCTGTGGCTCCTGTCCAGTCAGGGTTATTTGTCTCTTAAAAGGAACGTTCTGGACTGAACCTCTGTCTGGAGTTCCTAATAAGGCTTAGGCAGAGGAACAGTTTGTTGGTGAGAATATGCCCTGATGGCAAGCCCTGACATTGGAGATGGGGATTCTTTTGTCAGAGACCTTCCTTTCCAAGCTGGGCTTTCTCAGCCTGGCTAACATCTACGTGAGCCTGTGTTTAATGATGAGATATATAATGGAACACAATAGACCATGTTCTAGGTACTTTGCTTGGGGCTGAACATGCAAGTAACCCTGGCCCTCAAGAGACTTATATTCTTCTGGGGGAACACAGCACAAAGACTGGTAAATAAATAGGAAATCTGTATCTATGTATATATATGTGTGTGTGTGTGTGTGTGTGTGTGTGTGTGTGTATGTGTATGTCTATGCATATACACATATATAAGCATAAAATAATTTCTGGGATGAGGCACTTACAAATGGGAGGGGTACCTAGAAAGGCTGCTGAAGGAGGCAGCCCTTAGCTAACCTTGAAGATACCCAGAGCTGACATGAAGCCCATGTGAGGAGGGGAAGCCCTCCAGGAAAAGGGCCAGCCTGTGCCTAGGGACAGGGACAAGAGATGGGACATTGGGATGGGGCTGAATGACCTGGAATGTATATAGGATGTGAAGCGGACTGGAGAGGAATCAGCAAGCAAGGCAGGGGTGCAGCCCCGTGGTGTAACTGATCCTGGAGGCATTAGGGAGGCCCCCAGAGTTTCTTGAGCAGAACTGTGCTTTAGTAATATCACAGTCCAAGATATCTGGGACTTTAACAGAACACACGCCCTATATGGTCATGATCCTTCAATAATATGGTTTGATGAGATGAGGAGCCGTTCCAAGTAGGTTAGATCAGGCTTACAAATAATTCCCGTCTCAATGAGGTGCTCACAATGGCGCCTTGATTGTTACATTGGGATTTCTGGTGGGAGCTTGCATGTTTATTTTAAAGGGAAATAAATTGTAGGCTGGATAAAGGGCCTTGGTAATTATTTGCAAGTTGGGGTTCAGCAGATGTGGTCCCTTCCTTCTAGGTGCTGAGCAAGCTAATTGATTTTGACACATACAAAAGAAAGGACATGCAACATTGATGAAGTGATTACACAGAGAAAGACCAAACAGTCAACTGCTCCATCCCCTTTTGAGTAAGTTATGAAGAAAGTCCCAGAATAAACTGGCTTCTCCTCATGCCTGCTCATTCCTTCCAGCCCCCAATCCCTCCAACAAGAGGAGAAATG